CAGAGGGGTCTAGGGGAGGAGATGAGCCAGTCAGGGTGCGATGTAACAATGATGAGAAATACAACCTTCCTCTAGTTCCTAAAGGTTTCCTCCCCACTCCCACTACCATGACTCGAATTCTATCATGCAAGACTGGCTAGACCAGAGGAGGTACACTGGTACAGATAGGAACTGAAAATACAGGGAATCCAGGACGGATGAGCCCTATAGGACCAGCGGTGTGAGTGGCAAAACAGGGAGGGTAAAGGGAGAATGGGTTGGAAAGAGGGAACCGATTACATGGAAGTGTGTGTGACCTCCTCCCTGGGGGACAGACAACCAAAAAGTGGTTGAAGGGAGACGTCGGACAGGGCAAGATATGACAAAATACCCATTTATAAACTATCAAGGGCTCATGCGGGAGGGGGGAGCGGGGAGGGAGGGGAAAAATGAGGACCTAATGTCGGGGGTTTAAATGGAGAGAAAATGTTTTGAGAAACGATGTACAAATGCGCATTACACAATTGATGTGTGTATGGATTGTGATAAGAGTTGTATGAGCCCCTAATAAAATGTTTAAAAAAAAAAAAAAGAATCGCGACCCCACTCTATCCACCTCCAGATGGGTCCGCCCACATGCAGATACGCCCACATCCGAGTACCCGGCGTGAAGACTGTTACCCATGCCACACCATGCTTCAAGACAAAATGTCATTTATTTGTCATTAGAAATAAATATTTCACAATATATAATTACATATTGTTTTTGGGGTTCATCACTATGCTTTAATGATGTTCAACTTGTAACCATGAAAATACATCCTGCATATCTGATGTTTACATGGTGGTTCATAACAGTAGCAAAATGACAGTTATGAAGTAGCAACGAAAATAGTTTTGTGGTTGGGGGTCACCACCACATGAGGAACTGTATGAAAGGATCATGGCATTAGGAAGGTTCAGAACCACTGCTCTAGAACCTGGGGACAGCACTAAACCCAAGAACACAGATTCTTAGGCCATACAGTTCTTCTGAGACCCAGCTGCTGGCCCAACTCCCTAGAATGGCCCAATTTTAAGGTGCAGATGCCCTATGCCTCTCCCTCTCCCCTGTGGTATGCTGTGCCACTCCCTGAATCTGTGTCCCCCCACACCGAGCATTCTCTCTACTTGTTCATTATCCATCTCCCTAAGGATCAGGAGCTTCGTTTTGCTCACCATTGTTTCCCAGCACTGAGCAGTCCTGATGGAGCTGTGGGTTAGGCCTGGGGCTGCTGGCAGCAAGGTTCGGGCTTCAAACCCACCAGGCGCTCTGTGGGAGAAAGACTAGTCTGTCTGCTTTGGTAAATGTTCAGTCTTGAAGCCCCAGGGGGCAGCTCTACTCTGTTGTATAGGGTCCTCATGCGTTGGATTGGACCTGGGGGCAGGGGGTTGGGTTTGGGAGGACATGGCTCTAGAAAGCTGTGACTGACCCAAACCAGTTGCCTCGGAGTCCCAACGGAGAAGCCCTGGGGGTGCAGCAGGTGAAAAGTTGGCTTCTACCAGGTGAGAAATCGGTGGTTTGAGCCCCCCTGTTGCTTCGCCTCCCATCCTTTGGACACATTGTTGGGAGAGACCAGGCCTTGGAGAAGGACATCATGCTTGACAAAATGGAGGGGGCAGTCAAAAACAACAACAACAACAACAACAAAGAGGAAGGCCCTCAAGGAGATGGATTGACCCAGTGCTGCATCAATGGGCTCAGCATAGGAACATTTGGGAGCATGGTACAGGACCAGGCAGTGGTTTGATCTGGCGTGCAGAGGGTCACAATGGGTCCAAACCCACTCGATTTGCTGCTCTGTGGGGTGAAAAAAAAAAAAGACGAGCCAATCGGCTTTCAGGATCGACTCGATGGCAGTGGGTTTGGGCTTGGCGGATCCTGATGCATGGCCACTTCATGCATCAGAATAGAAATGTGCTCCATGGGTTTGCAGTGGCGGCTCTTCAGAAAGGAGGTTGTCTTTTTTTCTATGAACCTCTGGGTGGACTAGAACTGCCAGATTTTCGGTTAGCAGCCAAGCGTACTAAGGGCTTGCATCACCCAGGGACTCCTTGTGGCTGCCAGGACACCCAAACCCAGCCCAGATGCTGGCGTTTGTCTGTGATGAACTGAGAAGGGAAGTTGTGGCTTAGTGGATGCTTTAAATAAGTTAGAAGGAGTCTATATCCACAGAAAAGGAGTGAACCGCACAGAGGCTGCCAGGGAGCAGGTGCCTGTCTGATCGTCAGTCCTCACTTTGCACATATCACCGCCATGGGGGCATGAGGAGGTGTGAGGCCGCCTGCTGGCAGTGTCCCTTCTTAAGATCCAGTCTGGGCTCACTAGCAAGACCAAACTATGATGTGGCTTCCCACATCAAGTGGCCCTGTGGGGAGGATGTGTGGCCTGGACCTGCGGACACTTATGTACTTGGCATACTGAATAAATAGGTACTCCTGAGGAAAGCTCTTGTGGATTGAGTTTGTGTGAGTCAGTAGCTAAGCCTGGCAGCTGCGGCTGCTGGACAAATGGCAGTCTGAGTCAGCCGGGCTGCGTCATGGTTGGGTAGTGTGGATGGGCCCACTGACCTCCAGTGCTTTTCGAAGTGTGGTCTCCCGGCTGATAGCATCACCTGGGAACCTATCAGCAAAGCAAGTCCTCTGGTGTTTTCCCTAACCTACGGAATTCTGTGGGCTGTCCCCAGCGTTCAGTGTGTGCATTAATAAGCCTTCCAGATCATTCTGCTGCCTGCTCAAGTTTGAGAAGTACTATTATACAGTTTCTCTTTCAGGAAGGATATGACAGAGCTGCCAGGGGTGGGATGAAAGTGAGAGGCCGCGTTGGGGGTTCAGAGACGCAGAAAAGGGGCTCCTGGTATCCACCACTGGCCCTCATGCAGGGGAGTTGGAGGCAGCCAGGAAGCTCCTCTTGTTTCTCAAAATCTTCAAGGAATGGGGTTGTTGACAAAAGCACATCACCAAGTTCTCAGAGCTTTGTTTTTCAGACTTGGCAATTTATTTTGAAATTCCAAACAACATTAAAGGAAACAAACGAAAAACATCTCCAAACTGAAAAACTCAAACTCATGGCTACTGAGTTGATTCTGACTCCTATCGATCCTATAGGGCAAATTTTTACGAGAGTAGAAATCCTCATCTTTCTTCTGAGAAGTGGCTGGTGGTTTGAACTGTTGACCTTTTGTTTAGCAAACCAATTTGTAATCTGCTATGTCACAGAGCTCCCCATTGAAAAAAAGTGTAGTATTTTAACAGGTACAATGAAAATGGGGGGAGGGAGGAAGAGGCAGGTGGGTTAAATAAATGACCATCCAGGACAGGTTATGTTAGTATCTATGGGTCAGGCTGGAATTCAATGCTTGGATTGCGCTCCCCCCTCCCCTCCCCTGCCCTGCCCCAGCACCCCACCCCCCACCCCCCTTCCTCAAGGCTAACCCTTAAAAAACCCTGAGCGTCTCCTGAGCTGGCCTGAGAACTAGGAGGAACCCGTCCTAAATCCTTTGGGCCTGAAAGAACTCACAAAGCAGTCCAACTTGATGGCGTCCCTCCTGTGTTCTCAGCACTCGATCTGGCTCTGTGGAGAAGCTGCAAAGAGAAAACCAGTCAGCAGCTCAGGCAATCAAAGGATCTTGCAAAGGGAAAAGCATTCAGAGGGGAAACGCAGCGTCTCTGGTTGGCAGATGTTGGGAGTTGGGATGTGTGGAAGATTTGATCAGCTGGTTGGTGTTTCACTGGAGCCAGACAATGGCACACAGGAGGTGAACTGGTGGGAGGTGGGAAAAATAGGTGAACGCACGGGGCTGAATGCTGGATCAAGGCGCCTGGGTGCAGCTTACTAGCGGTCCGTGGCAGTATTACTCCGGAGCTCAGCGCGCCGCGGGGAGCCAGCCTTAGGAAATCCCCTTAGACAGCCACAATTGCTAACATTGATCCAGTAATCAATGCAGGACCTGTGCTTACATTAACCCACTCTCCAAAATAATCCTAGGAGGCAGGTCCTACTGGGGAGACTCAGACACTCAGTGGTGAAATTAACTGGCCCAAGGTCACACAGCTAGGAAGTGGGAGGGCCAGCCAGCATTCGAATCCTGGCTGTCGCTCTAGTAGTGCATGACATGGCATTCGATCCCTGGGAGCGCCCCACGGGTCTGAGCTAGCTTGCTGGGGTGGGGG